CCGAATTTGCTGAACAACTGTATGATTCATGTAACAACTACAGTGATTCACTTAACCACCATGGCAAAAAATCTTATAAAATCAGGTATGCCAGAAACATTAGCCCACCTGAACTGCTCAAGTGGCTGTTAGACAAATGCACGGATGACCGAATCAAAGAACAGCTTTTAGCCACAAAGGCTAAATGGAATCCATTTAGGAGAGGAAACAGTGAGCAACCCACAGGTGAGAATTCTTTTTGTGTGCCAAGCTCAGGATGATGATATTTGTTCAGTCGAGTCTGATTCATGATGATTTATGGGCCTGATATCTCCACATTTTCCAATCTTGCACTATTCCAAGCTCAGGAACTTCCTAGAAACATCTAATTAGCCACTGTTGGAGACCAGATGATTGACCTGAAGAGTCTTTAACTGAATCCAGCTGGGACATTTTCATAGAATCACAGCATTGGAAGAGACCTAAGAGATCATCAAGTCCATCCTCCTCCACAGTTTTAACATTCTACCTCTGTAAAACAACCTAATGAATTGGTTAGGTTTCACCTGAGTTTTCCTTTCCTACAGTCTAGGCTGGACAGTTGGCCGACCACTTCGAAGACTACAATGAACCCTACTAAAGGATTCAGACAAGCTTATCATCAAAAGAGAAGAGCAGTAAGGCTGAAACGGGAACTGAGCTCTGAAGAGAAGGAAAGCACTGGGTTTTTTTTAGCCTAGAGCATAGAAGACCATGATGGTGAGAAGATGAAAACCTGCTTCATAAACCTCTTGAAAAATGATATAGCCAGGACCTAACCTCAAGTTCCAGATGGAAAATAATGGATCGAAGTTACAGGAAAAGAGATGTCAATAGAATGTCAGTAAAAATAGTTCAAGTTTCATTAGATCCAATCTGCGATGCTTTAATTTGGGGTCCTGCATGGAACAGGGGCATGTAGAGGATCAGGCTGAGGCCGAGGGTTGAGTCAAACATACCATCAGTCTGGAGTGCCTACATCCCTGGAAGAGACCTGAGACCAACCCCCCTTGAAGTCCGTTAACTCTTATCTGGTGCCAATTTGCTTTAATCCTGTCAGATCTGCCATCTTTGGCTTGGTGCCTTGCTGGCATCCTGCCATCAAGTATTGGGGGGGGGGGTAGGAGAGGAAATGGGCACTAAACATGTATTGGGGTAGAGAGGAGAAACAGGGAGGGGGGAATGACAGGTTTGAGGGAAGCCAGAGGTATGAGAAACCAGCTGGTTCCAGTCTTCAAGGCCATGAAGCTTAGTAACAGCATGCGAATTGCACCAAACATCCGAGCGGTTCCCAAAACACCTAGATGGCACATCATTGTTAGAAGATTTTTTTTTAAACTAGACAATCTGTGATCTGCTGAGTCATCAGTTCAGAGATATTTCCTTCCTCAAAAGCAATGGAAAAGTTTTTAAGGTGCTGCCTTCACTAGAAAGGTTCTTAAAAATTCAGGGAGATAGTCAGAGATGCGTCTGCCTTGAAAGTTGCCCATGCTAGTATCAGCACAGGAAATGTTTTGTGACATGTTGTATTATGTCACGAACTGTTTTATGATAATTTTTATGTTTTATAAAATTTGGAAATTTCAAATCCACAAGAGTCATGGGTCTCGGATTTTGAAGTAATTCTGTAAGTTAGCCCATTTGAGGTACTTTGATTTAAAAGATTTTGCTCTATGATGTACTCTTTCACTCGGTTAAAAGTTACAGAAAAGAGAATTTTAGTAGTACATAGATGTGATATCTTTTGTGGATCTCAACCCATATATCTAGAGGGAAGGGATTACTTTTTAGGTATTTTAGGCATTGGGGTGGGGGTGGAGAGAGAGGAGAGAGTTTACAAAAACCATCTGAGGGACCAGCTCTCCTATGAACTATAAACCAGTCCAATTATTTAGGTTCACAGACATCAGAAGAGACTCCTTGGAGTTGCTAGAAGCAGTGTCTACGCCTTGGCTGAGCAATGCATTAATTATTGCTTGCTGGAATACGGAGTCAAATGCCTTTTCATAGTCACAGGGGCATGGTGTACTCATTGTGCCTTTCAATGATTTGCTGAACAAACTGCATGTGATCCATTCTGCTTTAGCCATTTCTGAACCCTCCTTGCTCCTTTGGCTGTGCATCATTTAATGTTCTCAATATTCTTTTTCCTATTATCTTAGTAAAAACCTTGTAGATGGCTGAAAGGAGGCTCATTGGGCAATAGCTCTTTAAATCATCTTGGGCCCCTTTCTTGTGTGTAAGAATCACTTCAGCATTTTTCTATGCACTCTCCCAGTATTTTGCTAAATCTCCCCTCATTCACCAAGTTGTTCACTGCTACTGCTGGTTTTAATTTGGCCTTGGTAGGGACTGAATTGTTTTTACCCTTACGTTTCATAATTTCTATTTCTTCTGGCTATAAGTTGCCCGAAGTGTTGCATAAGGAGAAAGGGGAGATAATAAATGAGTAAACAAACCGCAAAAGAACCCAAACTGCTGGCAGGGAGAGCTGTATTATGAAGCGCAGAAAATAGGCTCCCTGTTTAGTGCCCGAGGGAGGCTTCCCCATCCCAGGAAAGGGAGAACGGAGACCTCGGTCGCCCTCAGGCCTGGCGGGCGGAGGGTCGGAGCGGGGAGGGAGGGGGCTCCGCGGCTGCCCTGGCCTTCTGCTCCTCCTGGCACGGGATGGCCCTCTCCGGGTGCCCCGGGCGAGCTTCCAGCCTCCGACGCCCAGAAGGAAGGGGCATCCGGAGCGGCGGGCCAGGAGAGGCTGCGCTGCTCCGCCTTCCCGCCTCACCTGGCAGGTGCAGAAAGTCCGGGACTTGCGCGCGGGGGGCGAGGCGGGTCTTTCCAGCCTCCAGTTGCAGCTTCCCGCCTTTTCTTTTCCGCGCCGAAGATCCCCAGGCGCCCCCCCTCCCCACCGCCCCGCTCGAGGGAAGCGCCGGCCCCGGAGGGCGCCCCAGAGACGCGCGCCGACCCTCTGCGGCATCTCCCCCGCCCCCCCCGGGGCAAAGCAGCGCGCTGGACCCGCAACTCCGAGGCCTTCCGCAGAGGCAAGCCACGTATCCAGCGCCCCGCCCCGCCCGGCCCTCCTTACCGCGCGCCTCCGGGCTCCAGCGCCGCTTCCCCGGAAGAGACGTGGAGAGGCGCCCGCCACGGGAAGCCCCAGCTTTCACCCGCCCGTTTCAATCAGGATTCCGAGCACGCCTTGCAAGGCCAGATGTGCCGCAAAGGCCTTCGGGAAATGAAGTTTCCCTGTTCCGCGCTGGCCTCTCCCAAGGCGGCTTTTATCTTTGCCAGACTTTGCAAGGTTAGCGTTGGGGTCTCCTCGGTCCCCGACGCGCTCCTTTTGCCCACCCTTCGCGCTACAGTTCCAGGCGGGGAGCTGGAGGGCGGGGGAAGAGGCGGACGGCCGCGCCAGATGCCCCGGACCCACCGGGCGCTTGGCGAACTTGAGCCCCGGCGGGCCTTCCTGCCTCCCGCCGATCGTTCTGAGGCGTTTTCCTTCCGTGGGCTTTTTTAGGACGAAGTTTTTTGTAATAGTATTCTAGCAGTGCTATCAGCGGTAGTCTAGGTTTTTAAAAATCTGGCTGTATTCTCAGTTATTTTTCATTAACTTGAGGACTTGTTTGAACCAACGTGCAAACAGGTTTACAGACACAGCTTTAATACCATTCTTTCACAAAGACAGTGTCAAATAAAAGCAGACAGGAACAATTTTTGCCAGCTGTAAAATATTGTAGTAAAAATGCTCAATATAAGTGAAGCCACTCTTTCCAGCAATTGAGGTCCTTCTCTCTACTGAAAATTCTGGGTGTTTTGCTTTTATTTCAAGCACATCCCAATCCCTGCAAGAAGACTTGGCAGCCCATGAAAACAGATGGAAAGGCCTGGTAGAAGGGAGAGGCTGCCACTGGGGGTATTTTGCCACTTTTGACTAACAAGTTTCAGTTATACAAGTCCTTTCATACTCCCACAAACCTTTCATATGCCAACATCCCAAATTGTTTCAGCAGCCCAACTATTTCCTCCAAAGATAAAATCATTTTATTTTGGGCAATGTATACTTAATGGTAAATCTATTTTCAGTCACTGAAGCTCTATACTAATTATTTAATTTAAACACGTGTAAAAGGGCAATTCTACTTCCCACATTTTTGAAAGTGATAGTTAAAATTTTATTCACCCTCCAAATAAGGCATCACATTGAACAAAGGTTGTTATAACACTCCAATTTACTTTTGTGGGAAGACTGAACTACCGAAGTAATTTTACCTATTATGTAAATAAAATCAGATATTGCTAAAAAGCTTCTGACTGGACATTTTAGATTTCACAATTTATCTGCTGTACAGAAAATAAACCAACTGTAGTTCATCTATTTTTAAAATAACAGTGGCAGTCACCAGCAGACTTGGGAGACAATTTGTTTACCCTGCACATACTTTCCATAAAGATTGTCCTATCATCCAAAAAAGAGAAGTTAAAAATTCTGTACACACATATGTACTTTCTCGACATCTGAAACTGTAGTGTCAATGTTTTAAACTGCAATCATCAGAGAAAAGCAAAGAGAATAATCTGAATATTGCTACAGTTCCTCAGTAATTGGCCATGATTCAAACTCTTTAAGTTTTTCCTAGACATGCTAAGGATAAACTACCTTGGTTAGTCCTTAAAACAATTCCTGGGAGATGTTCTAATTACATAAACTTTGTGCTATGTGGTGAAATTTAGGAAAAATATACTCAAAAGGAAATATTTCTACTCACACTTAAACATTTATTTGAAAGCTTACATTAATATCCTGAAATGTATGTTCTTTGCTTGCCTGTGGATTGTGTGAAGCAGCTAATGCACCACTGGGTGATTTTGAAAATCTGACATTAGGGAATTCTGCCTCTTTTAAAAGGGTAAAATATAAATATGTATATTGTAGAAATAACAGAAACTGTTTTAGCAATACAGTATTTCAAATGAGATAGCAACAGACAAATCGGTGTTACGTAAACTGTCATCTTTACAGAACAGACACCTGATATCATACTTTGATTCCGCTTGCTTCCAGTTTACACCTTGCATTCTCCTGCTTGAACAGATATGAAGGTGGTGGAATATCTACTTTAAATGCTGGCATACAGGAACAGTCAGGGAAGTGGTGTTTATTTATTCCACGTTCTATGCATTACACACTGCTCAGAGCATCGACACCTGGAAGAACTTTACCTGCACATAGTTGAAAAGACACAAACATGAGTAACTAGTTTTAGCACAGCTCAATGCATCATCTCAGATTAGAATCAAAGGTCCTCCCTCAACTCCTCACCTCCCAGAGGTCTTTACTTTCTCTTGCTGAAGTGTTTAGAACTCTGGGGGGGGGGATTACAGAAAACTTCAAGGATGTTTGCACAACTAATACAATCAGTAGTGAACTTCAATGATAGATTTTCATTCATGAGTTTTATATTACCCAGGATTAGAAGACACATTAACTCAAGAATTTGAATTAGCCATCCCAACTGATAACACCTGCCATGGACCGATGTTATGCTCATGAAACCTTTAAAGCAGGACAATAAGACTTTCTATTTTTATTTCCCACGAAGGAGTAAATATGTTCTTTTTGTGCATATGGAGCAGAAGGAGCAACGAAGAGGCAGCCCATATATTCATTTCAATGGTCATCTATTTCTGGTTTGACTTTGCCCACTGTGTAGCAATGAACAGAGAAGGTGGCTTTCAAGAGAGAAAAGACAGCCTATCGCTGAAGCATCAAGGACACCAGGGAGATATTAATCAGAAAAATTTAACCCAAATTGAGCAAATTAGATGCTGCACCAAACGTACTTTAAAATGACAAAAATAGAGAGAAATCTATTTATTATCTGTTCTAAAAAAGTCACACCCTAATTCTCATATTCTTTAATAATGTATTTTAGGGAGTTTAGCTAATGTATACCTTTACCAAGCATGCTTTATACCCTGAGGAAATTTCACCATCAACGTTTAGAACCACTTAGGAAAACCTACATTTTGAATGCTAACAGTCTAAACTAAAGAGGACATTTCACTTTCATAGGCTTTCTCTGTAAGTGCACATTCTTTCCCCTTTGGTGTGGATTCCTAGGCAACAGAGACAAAGAGCCTGTCCAGCATGGCATTTCTGGAAATAATAGTGGCAGAAGACTTTAGTTTGGCTTATTTTTCAGACAGTAAGTAAAGGCAACAGAAAGACAAAATGTGTATCTATTGGGAAACAGCTTAATTACTAGAAGAAATAAAATCATTTGCAGAACAATGCAGCCCATAAAGATACAACTATAATTCCCCCCCCCCAAGATGACAGCCAACAAACTAGGAATCCTGTAGCACCTTGAAAGTCATATATTTAACTCTGTGATAAATTTTCATTTTCAGATGCAAATGCAGTACACCAATAAAAACCCACTCCATAATAAATCTGTTCGTGCTTGAGATTCTACAAGGATACTTTTTGTTATAAATACTTTTCACTTTAAAATGTAAGTTTTGGATGATACACAGCTAACTGGTAGAGTTTCATGGCTGTGATAGCGAACGGTAATCCAGGCTCATGTTTTAGACTGGGCTCAGTGACTGTACAAAAAAGTTCTGAATATTTTTAAGAAACCAGTTTTATCATCTTGCTTAGGCAAAGCACATATGCCTAAATTAAGTACGTATAAGAAAATCAATAGTTTAATATTTTCTGCACAAAGTTGTGGCTATATGTTTTTCCTATCAACCATCTAGACCAGGGGTGTCAAACTCAATTTCACTGAGGGCCGCATCAGCATTACGGTTGCCCTTGGGGGGCCGGGTGGGTGTGGCCAGAGTGGGTGCAGCCTACTGGGTGGGTGTGGAGTGGGCGTGGCCTACTGGGTGGGCATGGCCAGTTCTACATCATTCCCGTCAAGGGTGCTTGTGGGGGCCTGGGCAGGAATGGGACAGATCTGAGGGTCTCTGGCAGAAGGGGGTGGGACCGGGGCAAGTGCCAAGGCATGGTCGACCGGGGCAAGTGCCAAGATGGCCACCACAAAATTGTACATTGGCTCCCGGCTGGCCTGGGCCAGGGCCAAGGCAGCGGGGGCCGTTCCCTCACTGTTTCCAGGATGGCTTCGCGGGCCACATGAAACCACTTTGCGGGCCGCATCCGGCCTTGTGTTTGACATGTCTGATCTAGACCACAAGAGCACTAGTAGCTTTCAGCCCCTTCATGGATCAAGGCCTTGTCATGGCGAAAGCGCTTGTGCAGCTCAAAGAAGCTAAAAGCTAAGCCACGCAGGGCCACCCAAGACGGTCAGACAATAGTAGAGTTCTGACAAAATGGTGATGTGGTTCCCATCTTCAAGAAAGGGGAAAAAACAGACCCAGGAAACTACAGACCAATCAACCTAACATCAATACCTGGGAAGATATTGGAAAAGATAATAAAAAAACCAGATCTGCGAACATCTAGAAACAAAGAAAGTTATAACTAGAAGCCAGCATGGGTTTGTTAAAAACAGATCATGCCAAACCAATCTTATTACATTCTTTGACCGAGTAACTAAATTAATAGACCAGCGAAATGGTGTGGACATACTTAAGACTTCAGCAAGGCATTTGACAAAGTAGACCACAACCTACTTCTTGGAAAGCTAAAAAAAAGTGGGGAAGAAAGCATCACCATCAGATGGATTTTTAATTGGCTGACAAACCGTACTCAACGAATAATCCTTAATGGTACTACGTCTATATGGAGGGAAGTAAGCAGTGGGGTACCACAAGGTTCTGTCCTAGGCCCAGTACTCTTCAACATCTTCATAAATGACTTAGATGAGGGAATAGAAGGGGAACTTATCAAATTTGCAGATGATACTAAGCTAGCAGGAATAGCCAACACCCTAGATAGGCTCAAAATCCAAATGGATCTTGACAGACTTGAACACTGGGCCCTATCTAACAAAATGAAATTCAATGTAGAGAAAAGTAAAATCTTACACTTTGACAAGAAAAAACCAAAATTAAACGTACAGATTAGGTGAAACCTGGCTTAACAGCAGCAACTGTGAGAGGGCACTTGGAGTCTTAGTGGACAATCAATTAAATATGACCCAACAGTGTGCTGCGGCAGCCAAAAAAGCCAATGCAATCCTAAATTGCACTAACAGAGGGACTGAATCAAGATCACATGAGGTACTAATACTATTCTATAAAGCCTTAGTAAGACCAGACCTAGAATACTGCAACCAGTTTTGGTCTCCACACTATAGAAAAGATGTTGAGACTCTGGAAAGAGTGCAGAGAAGAGCAACAAAGATGATCAGTGAACTGGAGGCTAAAACATATAAAGAACGGTTGCAGGAATTGGGCATGGCTAGTCTAGTGAAGAGAAGGACCAGGAGACATGATAGCAGTGTTCCAATATTTGAGGGGTTGTCACAGAGAGGAGGGGGTCAATCTATTTTCCAAAGCACATGAAGGCCAGACAAGGAATAACAGATGGAAACTGATCAGAGAGAGGTTCAACCTGGAAATAAGGAGAAATTTTCTGACAGTGATAACAATCAACCAATGGAACAGTTTGCCTCCAGATGTTGTGGGGGTTTCATCACTGAAGGCTTTTAAGAAGACTGGATGCTGATGTCACCACCGGCCTTGAGCCAGGCATCAAAGGGGCCTTAGGAAGTATTACCAACAGCAAAGCCAGCAGAGGTGACAGTATTCCAGCTAAGCTTTTTAAAATCCTAAAAGAGGATGCTGTTAAAGTGCTGGATTCAGCTAATTTGGAAAACTCAACAATGGTCACAGGATTGGAAAAGGTCAGTTTATGTTCCAATCCCAAAGAATGTTCAAACTACCGAACAATTGTGCTCATTTCACAGGTCATGCTCAAAGTCTGGCCAGCTAGGCTTCAGCAACATGTGAACCGAGAACTACCAGAAATACAAGCTGGGTTTCAGAGGATCTAGAGATCAAATGGCCAACATTCGCTGGATTATGGAGAAAACCAAGGGCGTTCCAGCAAAACATCTGCTTCTCTCTCTCTGCTCCGTTGACTATGCTAAAGCCTTCGATTGTATAGATCACAGCAAACTATGGCAAGTTTGCAGGGAGGATCAGACGACCTTACCTGTCTCCTGAGAAATCTGTATGCAGATCAAGAAGCAACAGTTTGAACCAGACATGGAACAACTGATTGGTTCAAAATAGGGAAAGGAGAACAACAAGGCTGTGTATTGTCACTCTGCTTATTTAACTTATATATGCAGAGTACATCATGCAAAATGACTGAAAAGGGTGTTGCAATGGCCCAGTCAAAGTCCAGACCTCAACCTGATTGAAATGTTGTGGCAGGACCTCAACAGAGCTATGCATAAACCACTGCCCACAAACCTCAATGAACTGAAACAATGTTTAAAAAAAGGGGGCAAAATTCCTCCACAACCTTGTGAAAGACTGATAACTTCAAGTTATTGTTGCTAAAAATGGTTCTACAAGCTATTGAATCAAGGTGTACTTAGTTTTTCATACATGGCTTCCATTTTACAAAATAGATGATGACATGGTGTAATATGTCATGTGTTGTTCATCTAAAGTTGTATTTATCTACTTTTTAAGAACTCCTAAGGATCAGATGATTTTTACTATGTCCTGATATGTAAAATCACAGAACTCAAAGAGGGCGTACTTTCTTATTTACATGACTGTAGAAGGGGAAGAAATGGAAGCAGTGACAGATTTTATTTCCTTGGGCTCCAAGATCACTGCATACGGTGACTGTAGCCATGAAATTAAAAGACATTTGCTCCTTGGGAGGAAAGCTATGGCAAAACTAACATCATACTGAAAAGCAGAGACATCACCTGGCTGACAAAGGCCCATATAGTTAAAGCTATGGTTTTCCCAGTAGTAATGTATGGCTATGAGAACTGGACCACAAAGGTGGCTGAGCGCCAAAGAATGTATGCTTTCAAAGTGTGGTAATTGTGGGGGTGGAGAAGGCTCTTGGGAGTCCCTTGGACTGCAAAGAGATCAAATCAGTCAATCCTAAAGGAAATCAACCTTGACTGTCTCTTGGAAGGACAGATACTAAAGCTGAAACTCAAATATTTTGGCCACCAAATGAGAAGGGAGGACTCATTGGAAAAGACCCTGACATTGGGAAAGATTGAAGGCAGAAGGAGAAGGGGATGGCAGAGGATGAGATGGTTTGATAGTGTTATTGGTGCAATGAACACAATTTTGGACAAACTCCAGGAGGGAATGGAAGACAGGGGCGCCTGTCGTGTATGGTCCATGGGGTCACAAAAGGTCAAACATGGCTTAGTGACTGAACAACAAAAAAGCCTTTGGCAGGAGCAGTGCTTAAGGCAAGCTACAAAAAACTTGCTATTAACTTATCGGGGGTATAATTTTGTTTTTAAAAAGAAACCCATTACCTTCGAGAAGTTCCAGACTGGCTCCACCTCCGGTACTAACGTGGCTAACTTTATCTTCAGTATTCCATTTAGCACAGCAGGTAGCAGTGTCTCCTCCACCTGTAAAATAGTTTGGACTGTTTGGGAACACACAACTGGGCTAGTATCAAAATGTGCCGTTTAAAACCATTTAAAATAAGGGTCAAAGCGACCCACTTCCAGCCAGGGGTTCTCTCCATGTAGCACTCCAATCATTCTTTGCCAGTTGGGATATATTGTACAATCCAAAATACTTAAAGGGCAACAGAGACAGGTAGTTCAGATATCACTGAATTTGCCAATGTAAGGCAAGGCCTTCTGTTCCTTCCGTGAAAGGAAAGACATTATTCAAATTGACCAAAAAGGTAAGAATCAAAAATTGGCACCCAGAAGAACAATAGAAAGATTTGTACCGATAATGGTGATACAGCCTTTGCTAGTAACTTCCACCACTTTATCCATCACGGCTTTGGTTCCTTTGGCAAACTTCTCCCACTCAAAGACACCAACTGGACCGTTCCACACTATTTGCTTGGCTCTGCCCACAGCTTCGACAAAGAGCTTAATGCTTTCAGGGCCACAATCCAATCCCTAAGGCCAAGGGAACAAAGGAGACCGACCGTTCAGCCCTTCCTCCAGAAAGCGCAGAGAAGGAAGCAGCCTAGCAGCGCTTTCTGCCACTCACCATCCAGCCTGCAGGGATGCCAGAGGCCAATGTCGCTTCCCCAGTGTTAGCGCTCTCATCAAATTTATCTGCAGTGATAAAGTCAACAGGCAAAGTGATCCGGACACCATTCTTCTCGGCTTTGGCCATCAGATCTTTGACTATTTTTGATCCTTCTTCATCAAACAAAGAGTTACCAATCTGGAAGAAAAGAAGATGGCACATTCAATAGCAGATAAATGGTGGTACAAGCTGCAATAAAATCATTGAGTGCCACAAAAGAGCCTTGCAAATATGTACCGTATTCTTAAGAATGAAGTGAAGGAAAAGGGGAGAATATGATCAAAATCTTTAAATACATTAAGCGTGTGACTAAGGTTCTAGAAGGCAGTATTTTCAATATTAAGCAAAAATCAAGAACAGGGGAGCATAACCTCAAACTGACAGAGGGAAGTTCAAAAGTAATATTAGAAAGTATTAGTTCACAGAAAGAGTAGTGGAAGATTGGAACCAACTTCTAGTGGTTCCAATCAGTAACTGAGTTTAAACGCATGCCCATCATCCAACAAAAATTTAAAAAACTCAAAAGGCAGATTTGATGGACCACTAGGTCTTTTTCTGCCATCAAATATGCCTATGAAGATTCTCAATTATGCAGGTCATAGTTGTACCAAAAGTGGGTTTTATTTTGAAAAGGCAGTTGGACTGATTTTTGAGGAAAAACAAGACGTTTCGCTTCCTATCCTGGAAGCTTCATCAGTTGTATTGGATGCTGTGGAAGATGGAAGGACAGTTATTGATAGTTGAGATTAGCTGGTGGGAGGGGGAGTCATAGGTTCTGACAGGATGGTGGGAGGGAAAAATGGAAAAGGAAAGTTTTCCCTCTTTGTGGATTTTGGGGAATCCATATATTTTATAAGAAAATGGTCATCAACTTCCTGCAAAAACTACCTAAGGACAAATGCCATTGACAAGCCGCAATACTTCCGCCTTTATCCTGGGGAAGCCACTCCATGCATATATGAATTCCCCCAAATCCACAAAGAGGGAAATCCACTCAGACCAATTGTCAGCAGCATCAACTTTTGTCACCTACAAAACTGCAAAATATCTAACCATCTTACTAGCTCCTTTGGTTGGCAACACCAACCATCACACCAACAACTCACAGGACTTTGTCAGCAAGGTTTGGAAACTAAAATTGGATCCAGATGAAACTATGGTTTCTTATGACCTCACTCTTCACCTGCATTCCAACAACTGAAGCTGTCACAGCAGTGAAGAAACATCTGCTTCAAAACTAATCTCAACCCATACCACATATGTGCCATGTTGGGCCTCTGTCTGACCATTACCTATTTTAAATATAATGAAGGTTTCTACAAACAAAAACACGGTTGTGCTATGGGTACACCTGTGTCCCCCATTGTGGCAAATCTTTACATGGAAGAGGTAGAAACCAAAGCCCTAAACTCATTCCTAGGAATTTCACCAACTCACTGGGACAGGTATGGGGACAATACTTAGGTCAATTTTAAAACACAGGAAGTGGAAACCTTCACCAAACACATCAACTCTGTGGACAGATACCATCTTCACATGGGAAGATGTGAAGGAAAACTGTCTGGCTTTCTTGTGTACATTAAGGAAGACAGACGCCTTAATATTGAAGTTTACAAAAAACCAACACACACTGATCAGTATTTGCATTTGAATTCTCACCACCCACTAGAACACAAATTGGGAGTGTTCCAGCAACAAATTTCGGCTAATTACAAACTTATACTTGAAAACATTCTTGAAGCTACTGAGATAATTAAATCTAGACTGAAAGACAAAGGCACCAGCTTAAACCTACAAAATGAAACCCTGATTGCAACTAAAGAACCTACAACCCAAAAAGCAACAGAAGCTGAAGAAAGTAATAGCAAGATGGAGGGTGTTAAAGATCAACAAGTACAGCACACTGAAAACCTAGATAACCAAACAACAACCATAAAATTGGACATGACTTTTTACTTAAACCAGAAGAAACCTGCGGAAGAAGACCAGGCCGAATTGAAGATAAATACACTAGAGCAAATATGGAGACCTGAGCCACCAGGGCAACAATTTAACAATTATAAATGGGCCAGTTCCTCCGGAAAATTAATGACCAGATGGTCTCCTCTGATTCAAATAACATGTGCAAGAATGAAGGGAGATCTATCTGATGAATTAAAGGCATTGATTGGTATGGAAGCCTGGTTGGCATACAAAGAAAGCCAGAGTTAGATTTAAAAAATGGAGTCTTCTGATTTATGACAGAATGTCTGAACTAATGGGCTAAAGGGAGATTTTGAAATGAGGGGAAATGTGATTATAGATTTAAACATTGTTGGAAAATGATAAAAAATAAGGGATTAATTGGCTTAATATTTAGGATTTAGATTCATAAGGGAAATGAAAATTAACTATTGGAAATAGCTTCGAATTATTGTTTAGCCCAGATAATACAGATTATGGACTTGAGACAATAAAGGACATTCTATTAGTAAGTGGTGATGTACTAGGATGAGAAATAGAAAATGTTTATGAAATAAATTAAGAATATATTTAAGTAAATAATGTATATTATAACTTTTATGTAGTGAAATAAAGGAAATTTGGGTTACTCGAAACTTAAATACTATGGATGTTAAAAGGTTAAATTGGAATACCGTAATTAAAAATTAGGTAAAACTTAAAAACAGGATATGGATATATATAAGCAAAAAATAGATTGATAAATGTCTCAACTGAGCTTGTTATAATTAGAAATTTACTTATTTAAATATGATATAGCAAATGTTAAGGGAAATAGAGAAGGAATTTTTGATGATGTAACCTGACATATGTACTAAAGATTTTGTTATTGAATTATTGATTACACAATCACCGCGCTGCTTTCTAAATACTTAAATGTAAAACTGGAAAACCAATAAAATTTGTTTTTTTAAAAAAAGAACCCTACATCATCGGGATGAAAGTTTGCCTACCAGTAAAGAGGAAAAAGAAAAAGAACTAACACAACAAGGAATCCCTCAGAACTTGTTGCTATCCTAACTGGGCCTTCGTCAAATAAAAAGATTCAGCTCCTCTAATACAGACAAGGAACAGACAAAGCAAAATTGTCATTCCATATATTGCTGGAATATCTGAAAAGCTCAGGAGGATTTTCAACCAACACCACATACTTGTACATTTTAAGCCCAAGAATACATTAAGGCAGAAACTTATCCTTGGGGTAACACTAAGACACAAACTGAGCAATGTGGTATATGCAATACAATGCAGTGAGACGTGTGCAGATTTGTAAATTGGGGAAACAAAACAACCACTTCACGAGCACATGGCACAACACAGGAGATTCAACCCATCAGGACAAGATTCAGCTGTCCATCTGCATTTGAAAGATAAGAGTCACTCTTTTGAAGATAGCAAAGTCCACATTTTGGATAGAGAGGACCATTGGTTTAAAAGAAGGGTATTTTATTTTTCCTCAAAAATCAGTCAAGTTGCCTTTTCAAAATAAAAATCAGAGGCTGAAGAAAACTATTTTCAGTGTGACTTCCGATCTAAATTAGGTGTCAGAATCCAATTATATTTCATTTCTAGTTATCGACTATAGAAAACCCCATTTCTGCCCTCTCTGGATTCTGTCATACTAGGAAGGGGAAGGGGGATGAGCAAAGGGGTTTTATGGCTCTCACTTCCTTCATTAAAACTTGAAAGGGACTGAATGTGGATCTCACCAAGAGGACTGACCATAACAATACGGCTAAACCTTTCATCTACTACTCTCTGAAGTCTCCCTTCCGCTGGCCTTGAGGAAAAGGGGGTGGAAATGTAACACCTGGGATTGTCGCTGGAAGGACGGTGGGGTGGGGGCTGCTTGGGAACACTTAAAACATTGATTGGTAGGGGTTGGCCCCTCAGATCCTGTCTAGAACGCCTGCAACCATCTTCTCTTAATAAAGATGCCTGTTGGATGAGATATTCCAAGAGTTCTCTTCTTAAGATGTAAAGTGGGGTGGGTCCTTACGTTAGGAGTGTTACAGTAGCTTGGTCAAAAAAACAATATCTAGCTCTTTGGTCAAATATGAACTTATATGAAAAAAGTAGATGAAGGAAAATTGTCTTGTTTAAGCATGTGGCCAACAACTTACTAAATATTTAACACTGATTAATACAAAGAATTGTTCCTATATATTTACTTTTCTCAACAAAAGACAACATTGCAACATACAGAGCCACTTGTCTGATATAAGCACCTGTAGAAATTAAATAAATAAATACCTCCATATTGTTGAGTACTTTGAGGAAGGTGAAGGCCATTCCACCACCAATAATCATCTCGTTGACCTTATCCAACATGTTACTGATTAGCTGAATCTTATCCTGAACCTTAGCTCTAATGAGCAGGGAGAAAAGGAAATCCAAATAGTTAAATATTTCTGTGGAATGTTTAAAATAAAAATATTTGAGACAGAAAACAGCTAATTAGACTGTAGAAACAGTATGTAAATCATGATTTCATGTTTTATTTCTAAATGGGAAAAACACGTAAACTCATTTACTCTTTTGACTTATGTAAATAAAGGTTAAAATAAAGAGAAAGGCATTACAGAGACATATCCATGCATGTGTCTCTACTTGGCTCTCTTTCAAGTCAAAGGAGTTGAAACTCTAGTTGATTTCACACATTCATTCTCCACTCTGGTTTGAACAATCAAAATGAATTATCACTACAAATCATTTATAATTATCCAAAATGTATTGAGGAAGGTAGACCCTAACCCTGTTGTTCCAATCCCTTTTACAGAATGGGGCAGTACTGTAGTTCTTTTGATGAAGAAACACATTAACGGTTGGACTTTTAAAAAAGAAAAGAAAACCAAAAAAAGGATGACTCCAACATTGCCTCTCCACAAGCTGTTAGCTGTGCTAGGCTGCCCTCTCCTGCCCAAATGTCTAATTCTGGTAACCAGCAGCTAAAGCTGCACATGGTCATTCAGCTGCAAGTGCCAAATCTGGACTAAGCAGATGTCCAAGCTCTCTGTTTCTCACAAGTAAGCTGCCTATAATAAAGCGATTCTGGAAATCTATTCCAGATAGCTTGCTGTAAGCCGCCCTGGGTCCGCCAGGAGAAGGGCGGGGTATAAATCTAATAAAATCTAAATCTAAATCTAAATTGTGGATTTCTCCAAAGTAAAATATAACCAGAAATATAACATTATTTCCCAGCAGCAGTTCTTAATATCTCTGTGGGCAAACAGCAATAAATACAATGGTTTATGCACAATCAAAGGACTCTGTTCTATGGTCTATACTCTAGTATCTTTGATTTCTAACTACTGTGAGTTCTTTTATTTCCTCTTAATTATACTTTATTTTCTACATATAGGCTTGTATTTTCTTTAAAGTTTTTATTCACACCAATTAATAGCTATTTAACTGTAACTGATCTAACATTCTATTTTGGTTTCAGTTCCACAGCTGCTATTTTGTATACTATGGGTTACCAGATGAGATGATCATGGCAATGAACTGATGGACTGGATGTGCAGACAACCAGATCCAAGTGGCCAAATATGCAAAATGGTGGCTTGCTCAGAAACTGACACTGATTGTTCATGACGCCCTTAATCTAGAAAATGCCAGCACAAGATCTTTCCAGATGATACTAAGATTGCCACCAATGCTCTTAGACAAAGATAGTAAGAGCACTAGTTATTTCTGCTAGAGGAGCCCCCATGTGCCCTCCACCTATTGTTCAAATGATGCTTGAGACAGGAAAGACACTCAGCCGTGGATCTCCTCAGCCTTGGGAGTAGAAACTCAAATGATTCCTGCACTTCAGCTGTTCCTTGAGCCAAACTCTTTAGTGAAGCGAGAACCAAGCCGAGCCAGATTCTGCTCTTCATTGTTTTCTCTGAAACCTTCTAGAATGAACTGCAGGAGAAGCTGGACTCTGAGGACAACAGGGCTTTATAGCTCAACTTCATATTGAAGTTATACACCAGAAGCCCTTTGAGGGCAAGCATTTTTGAAATGGAAAATTGTATTGGTGATGTCCCCTAGGACAGGGGTCCCCAACCCCCGGTCTGTGGACTGGTACCGGGCCGCGTCATGCCAGCAACTGGTCCGCACAAACAAGCAAAGCCCCATCCGCGAGATGCAGGCAGCACACAAAACCACACATCCTCCAGTCCGCGGAAAAATCTCTCTCCACAGAACCGGTCCCTGGTGCCCAAAAGGTTGGGGGCCTCTGCCCTAGGAGAGCTCCTCACTCTGGAAGTGAGCTAGGTGGAAAGCAAATCACTGGGCCAAGGGCAGGAGGAGGGACTGGACTGTCCGGCATGCACTCCCCCCTTGTAGCTGTTCTGGCACTGAATTCCCTTCCTGTCAGTTTTGTGCAACTAATTTCAAAATCTGGCCCTACTTGGCAACATTGGTCTGATATTCTGTCCACTGAAACATAAAATAAAATTGTGTTTATACTACAATTCAACGTATTTTTATTAAATACATGTCTTTGAATTAAATATATTAATCTACTATTTGATATATTCCTTGAAAAAAAAATCACAACACATTTCTCTTGAACACTGTAGGAGTTATGTGTCCAGTTATAGTATCATCCTTGCATAATGGCAAAAGTTTCAATTTACACACGGAACTGCTGAGCAGGCAGTATATGTGCTAAATCTGCTTGAAAGGCCAAACACCTACAGAACTATTTTAATTGATCCGACTCATAATAACATATGCTAAGACTGGGGTAATTTTTTTTTAAAAAAGTCACCAAAATATAACATGGCCATAAATATTAGACATTAAAAATATTTGCCTGCAATATAAGCCCCAACAAACTAATAATTAGGGTTTTTTTTAAGTTTAAGGGAAGGAAAGCAAACTGTGCTGAAGAAAAAAGCAATTTTGTTCTTACCCTCCAAGGATTGCCAGAAAGGGGTGCTCTGGGTTCTCTAGGGCTTTGGCAAAATAATCCAGCTCTTTCTTCATTAGAAATCCAGCCGCTTTTTGAGACAGATTGACCCCAACCATGGAACTGTTACAAAAGGAGGGAAAAACATCAGTGACTTGCAGTGTGGATAAGCACCTGTGCCCATTCATGTCCTACAAAGGTAATTCAATTTTAAAAAATCTATTCAAGTCAACACCTGGGAAAGTATTCAGTTAAAGTATCAGCAAAGCCATTCAAAGTCATGGTATTTTTCCAAAGTCATACTGATATTTTTGATTTGCAGACTCTACTGGATTAAAATCTAAGAAAATAGTCTTTCAAGAGCCTTTTTTGTTAAATATTTTTTTAAAAAATGTTGTTCACTATTTCCTCCACAAATCCAAAATTCATACTAAAAATATTGCTTCACAAAGAGAACATTTACAATATGTATGGTAGACAGTTAGGCACTCCTTGTACCTAACTAAGATTCTTCTAGTAGCTTCTTTAATATCAAGAGCACGTCCCCAACACTTACAGAAGTCAACATTTTCTATTGACCTGAATTTCATCACTAATACAAATGATAGGTTCTAAGGTTAAGAAAAACGCAACCTAACAGATATTCTGGACAAGAGCTTCCAGGAAATATTTATGTAAAGTAGCCAGTTTGCCACTATTGGTGGGAACCAAAGTTTTTAAAAGATTAAATTATATTGTCATGGCTACAATTCGGCTTGCTTTGCAATCCCCAATCACAGCCTGACAGTAGCAATGGTGAGAGGGGATAAGTTAGAATGCAAGGAGGTATTGGGGGGGGGAGGGACAAAGGAATGCAAAGAACGCTGACTGGGCGCCTAGGACAAAGCCAGCCTCTCAAGGTCACTTGCTGGAAATGTCTGGGAAACTCCAAGCAAAACGAATGCAGCGGACTGGACAGTAACTAATAAAAATGGGAAAGCCAAGGGAAAATGGAAAGTTAACTCTGTTATTTGCACACAAAAATATCAGAATTGGCTTCGCTACTTCTGTAACCATATTGGTCTAATAAATTATACTCTTGGAGAAAAGTGATGTCTCAGGAGTCTTTATTTACTGTACGAAGCAAGTGGAACAGTTGACATATATTTTCTCAAATTTCAAGCATTCAAAATAAAAAGTTTATTGTAACAAGTATTATAGTAACGGTTTTCCCAATATGTTGAAGTTTGTCCTAGAAGAATGGTTAATGCCACAAGACTTTAACTTAGGAATCAGTGTGACAACAAAGACTCACCTGTGAGCTCTATGTGCAGTTCCAAAAGCATCATTAATGTAAACATCTCCTAATTTAGAAAGTGATGCTCTGAAAGCATCCACTTTTGCAGAATCAGCCTTGATCTGAAGAAAATAAAAAAGTCAACTGACATTCATTCTTCAAGCCCCTCCCCCCTTACCACAGCAAGAAGGCTTACAAAAAAGCTCCCTAAATATAACACTGCTATACGAAACGGTGGCAAAAGGAAACCTTTCACCAGGAAGAGGATGATGAAGTAAAAAGTACATAGTAGCTATGTTACCTATTCACTTTTAGCTTTTTGACCTAGCCACCCAGCATGCCCTTGATTAAAAAAAACATTAACTTTTAAGATGTTCCCTCTCCTAAAGACAAAGAATTTTGAGATAAACTGCATCCCCTACTGAGAATTGTACTGAAACTGATGCAGGCTCTTCCCACCTTTGTTATAATCAACAAAAGAACAACACTATCTTGATAGTATCTGCTCTCAAATGATTAGAGGGTTTTGAGGAGGAATGGTGAGGGGAAAAAAGGCTACTCCAGCCATCCATACTTTTTTTTTCTATAGATTTACACTTTATGTGGCAGGATGTTTCAAAATTCCAATGGGAATAGCTGATGTTGCTAGGAATCAATTAAGATTATTACTCAGGCTCATCAATGTGCATGGTGCTTTAGAGAGCAGTACCTCTAAAGCCACGGGTCGGCAACCCGCGGCTCTTTGAGCCATCTCATGCGGCTCCGGAGCCTCCTCCGCCATTTGCAGAGAGAGACAAGGAGAGAGAGGCACTTGCACTTCCCCCCCCTCTCTCTCTCTCCTGCGGACTTGCCCCCTCGCAGGACTCCTGATTGGTCCTGTGCCCGGGTGTCCCACCCCCTGGGAGAAGGGCAGCCAGGAAGTTCAGTTCCTGGGCTGGCCCTGTCCCAGGCGCACGTGGCTGGGGAGCCGCGCGGGGAAGCCCCGGGATCCCCGCTGAGAGCGGCCCACCAGAGCCTCCGCTGAGCCGGCCAGCCCTGCTGCAAGCCGCAGCCCCGAGGGAGAGCAGCCCCTGCGATGCCCAGCCGGCACAACCGTTGGCCAAGCAGCACCGGAGACGGGGGGTCAGTGGCCCCTGCGATGCCCAGCCGGCGCGACCATTGGCCAAGCAGCACCGGAGACGGAGGGTCAGTGGAGGGGGGAGGGAGGGGGCTCCGAGTCCGCGGAGCGCCCCTGCAAAGCAGCCGTGGGGCAGGTGGCGCCCCCCCCCGCTTACCTGTACCAGGCAGCAGTCCCGGCTGGGGCATCGATCCCTGGGCCATCCCCAGGCCACTCCCTGAGCTGCCGAGCTGGCCACGTGTCTTCTCGGGCTGGGCCGGACGGCAGTTCTGGCTGGGCCAGTGGCAGCATCGCTCCCTGGGCCGTCCCCGGGCAGCCGAGCTGGCCATGTCTCCCTGGGCCAGGCGGCAGTCCCGGCTGGGGCGGCGGCTGGCGGGGGCATCGCTCTCTGGGCCATCCCCGGGCAGCCAAACCAGCCACACGTTTCGCCGGGCGGGGCGGCAATCCCGGCGGGGGCAGCAGCCAGCAGGGGCATCGCTCCCTGGCAGCTCAGCCGGCCACGCGTCTCCCCGGGCTGGTCGGTGGTGCCCCGGGCGCCTTTTGCTGCCTCCCCCCCCCACGCTTGGCCTTCCCGGGACCTCCGCCCATTTTCCCATGCCTGGAGCAGGAGAGGAAGCGCTGCTTTCCGGGCATCGGAAGGGGCTTCCCCCTCACAGCTGTGCGAATCGCAGCGCGCCTCCTTTCCCACCGCCCAAGCTGGCCTGGCTCGCCCTCCTGCAGTATTTGGCCCTGGGAAAACTGGGACAGCCGGCCGGCTGGGGAGGCCAAGCGGCCCCAGCAAGGAAGCCGCTCCCACCCCGTGGTCGGCTGGCCAGGAATCCTGTCCGGCTCGGTGGGGAGCTCGGGGACCACCTGACCGCCGCGGGGGTGTCCACGTCAGCTGCTTCCTGGTGGGCCCGCTAATTGTGGGCTCCCGGCCGGCTTCCTCCATGAGTCAGGCGCCCGGGACTCTGCGGAGCCGCCCCTAATTGCGCCCCGCGAGGGCCCGACCGAGCTCTGGCCTGACCTTCGAAACGCCACTTTTCCGAATTCTTTCTGAACTGTAAGCTGCCCAGAGTCACTGAAAGGGGTAACCAGAGATTTTGAGGGGAGAGGAAAGAGAGAGAGAAAGAGAGACAGAGAGGAAAGAGAAAGAGGAAAGGAAGAGAGAGTAAAGAGAGAGGGGGGGAGAGGAAGGAGAGATAGGGAAAGGAAAGAGAAAGAGGAAAGAGAGAGAGGAAAAGGAAAGAAAGAGGGGGAGAGGAAAGAAAGAGATAGAGGAAAGAGAGAAAGGGAGAAGGAAAGAGAGGGAGGGAGGGGGAGAGAGAACCTTTTGACATCTAAAATGAAGATAACACTGCATAAATCCTTTTTTACCTTTATTATTTCATACACACACAATATAATATAAAATAAAGGTAAAAAAGGATATATGCAGTGTTATCTTCATTTTAGATATCAAAAGGGTTTTGCGGCTCCCAGTGTTTTGTTTTCGACGTGAAACGAGTCCAAGTGGCTCTTTGAGTGTTTTGGGTTGCCTACCCCTGCTCTAAAGCTGATGCCCAACAGAGCTTTAAAATTAAAACCGAAGGAGAAAGGATGGCAGCAACGGATCAAATATAAGGAGAAAGAACCACTTTGTATGAAAGAACAAGCAACAGGAAGAAGTTCAAGTGGGAATTAAGGTAGTCCTCAGAAGTTCATGTGCACATTTTTACAGCACTATATGGGTAGCCTCTACCAACCTGCGAAAGGGCATCATACTGTACAACAGTATTTTAAACTCGAAATAGTTCAAGACGGAGGCAAACCTGAGACTTAATGGGATCAGAGATGCTAAGAAAAGAAACTGACTGGGAACAGGTTCTCTCAATGACCTTCAAGAAAATGTCAGAGGGGCTAAATGGCACAGACACCAGATGGCTGTCTGAAAAATATGTGGACCCTAGTCAAAAGTTTCTTTTGGTGCAGCATATGATATGAAAACTTCATCAATAGAGCATTCTGTCAAACTTTTCTTAGTTATTTTTAATTTAGACTCCTTCTCCTTTCATTGCTTTAATCCAAATTCCATCTCTTTTAAAGCCACAATACTATAATTTCATCCAAATAAATTTATTTATTTAATTTATACAATATTGGCCGCCCATCTTACCATCTTATTATTACTTGATCAACACCTCCATTGCTCTGTTCCCCCACTTGGGGGCCCAGGCCAACTGGCAGAGCCAAGTCTTGAGGCCCTTATGAAAAGATGGGATGGTTGTGGCCAACCTCACATGGGACGGGGGGGAGGGGGGAGAAGAGATGTTCCAGAGGGCAGGAGCAACAACAGACACCTGCAGCTGTCAATCTCACCTTATTGCCCGAAAGATCCTTCCCTTTTCCTTCTTCTTCTACATGGAATCGGAGGTTTTCCAAGAGAATAACGGAGCCATCTGCAGGATTGGCACAAGCGGCCTCTACCTCTGAACCCACACAATCTTTCAGGAATGTGACGTCTCTAGAGATGATCCAAGATTTAGACTCAGTTTTTGAAGTTGAAAATATTTTACAGCATTTCTATTACAGCCCTGATATCTTACCTGCAAAGCAGTGATTTGAGTTCAGCCACTACCGGTTCCAAAGAGAATTTATCAGGCATTGCAACTCCGTCAGGTCGGCCCAGATGACTCATCAATACTACAGATTTGGCTCCATTGTCCAAACAATGCTTGATGCTCGGGATCGCTGCCTTGATTCTATGAAACCAGAGGAAAAATCAGAAAGATACAAACTTAGGACTGCAGCTCTGTCCATCTGTTAGGAGCCAAATTACAGGTAGTCCTCAACTTACAACCACAACTGAGCCCAAAATTTCTATTGCTAAGCAAGACAGTTAGCGAGTTTTGCCCCATGTTACAACTGTCTTGCCACTGTTGTTGTGAATCACCACTGCAATTGCTCACTTAGTAACACGGTTGTTAAGTGAATCTGGCTTCCCCATTGACTTTGCTCATCAGATCACAAAAGGTGATCATGTGACCCCAGGACACCGCAAGCATCACAAATACGAGCCAGCTGATTTTTGATCACATGACTATAGGTATAACACAATGGTGGTTAAGTGTGAAAAACGGTCATGTCATTATTTTTAGTGCCACTGTAACTTTGAATGGCCACTAAATGAATGGTTGTAAGTTGAGGACTACCTGTGTAAACTAAAACATCTAAAGGCCACCAATCTGTGCTATATATTATACCATCACACGGTCTCTTGCCATTAACATCCTACTGATAGGATCTTCTGCAGGCTAATTTGTACATCCTGAGCTACTTGAATGACTTTGATCAGTACTATGTAATCCAGAAGTTTCAGTAATCCTGCTACACGTAAACCATTTTGATCCTATATAAACATTATCACAAACAAGAAGCCTCATATGAAGCCAGATCAATTGTTGTCAAGTCAGACAAACCTGACTAAACAAATGAACCAAGAAAATATCTAAAAGCCTGATTTGGCGATAATAGGATTGATCTTAAAACTAAAATAAAAAAAAATGGACTTGCAACCCATTGGACTAAATGAAACTATCTAGAACTCTTAGGAATTAAAAAAAACTTACCTTTGATTGTTGGTTATTTTGTTATTCTTCATTGGTACATTGAAATCAACCCTTAAAAAGAATATAGTAAAGTTTTACTTTTATAAACCAACTAAAGCATTGCATTGGTAGTAATAAAATCCTACAGGATTTTTTTAAAAGGCCCCTGCATCAGATTATATTTGGGTACAAAATGACCAGATACTGTATTATGCTAACCCTGCCATTCCTAGATATCTCTCTAATAAATTAAGAAAACTATCAGTAGAGTAAAAGTGTTTTAAAATAAAGGACAGGTTTTGGACAAATTATGGTCAAAGTTTAATGTACCTGTTTTTCTGTTGCAAACTCTAGATTTCTTGGCTAAGTGCTTAAACTTCTTTATATTTGCTGTGCCTCCCTCAAATATCCACGGCCAGTCTTTTGATACATAAAGCAGGGGGTAAATATGTGAATCAGATCCACTGGCCAGCTGTTAAAAGCCATTAATTACCTCAGTCTCAGCTAGAACTGAGGACTGTTCCTGCTCTACACAACTTGAAAGTTTGGAGGAGCCTCAGAGTCCATTTTTACAAAGCAATGCTTTCTGCCTCAAAGTGGAAGCAACAGGAAATTATGTTGAACAGTATAAGCATGAAGACACAGGTTGTAAAGTTGAATTTTGTCTTGAGCAATTGAAAAACCAATTTCAGGAGATGTCTTGGCTCTGCTCTGAATGTATGATCTCAAAAGAACAATTCCCGTATTTTCAAATACTTAAGTGAAGCAACAGATCATACCTTTTTTCACTAATTAAGTCTAGCATGTAAACACAAACAGTAACAAGAATGATTATTTGATGTAAGCATGTAGAAAAAGCCAATAATTAAAAAAACTTAAATATTAATTGATAGCAGTTTAGGCTATAAATGTAGGTATAAGTAAGATGGAGGAGCTAAACAAAGAGAAAAGGTGCTGACACCTGCCATCTGAATCAAGACTCCATTACTCCACAGGATCACAAAAATGTGAAATGGGAAACCCAGGGCTTTGTGAATCAGATTCTGAAACACTGTCAGAACAGAAGGGGAAGTACACCATATAAAAAGGGGGGGAAGGGCTTTGATCCAGATTGCAAGTCAGCAAACACTAGGTCAGTGATGGCAAACCTTTTAGAGACCCAAAACCGGCCTGCCCCCGCCACAGATCGCCCAGGCAGCGCCATGGCGCCCCCCTCCCGCACCCCATCACCTCTGGCACGCGTAGGTTCACCACCACTGCACTAGGTATTAGCTGAAATCATTTTGTGAAAGAACAAAATGAATTATGTCAATGCATATTGTCCCTGGGACAAAATGTTTTTTAAAGACAAGAAATGACTCATCAGAGGTTAATTTATGATCTGTACTGAGGGTAATTAAAGCAGGTTCCAGAATGAAGCTTGCAGGTTATGATAAAACTCCTGCCACCCAAGCCACTTTCAGCTAAGTGTTAGAAGGGGTTGTTGTGTGCTCAGATATTGTTAAACTGCAACTCCTAGCAGGCAGTGCTTGCATGTTCAATACTGAGGGATGTTGGCAGCTATACTGCAAAATCTGGCAGCATATCCATTTTATATGTAGCAAACAGAGAAAACATCCAGCCATTAAGGCAACGAAAATACTGATGTGGATGTAAATTCAGAGTCTTCTCTCTTTACATAAAAGACAAAACATCTTGAGTTGGGAAATGGCTTCAAGAGAATAATGGTAGAATGCAAAATCCTAGCTAGTCCTCAATGACCTTCAGAAAATGTTTCGTTTATTTTAAGGCCTTAGTCTTAAAACTATTTAAAACACCACCTGCATATCATATGAAAGAGCATAGTTGTAATAGTACCCTAGTTGTTATTCTTTTCAGGTGCAGAATTAAGCAGTTAGTGCTTTGTCTCAGCCCTATTTCGCTAATGAGACCCTCAATTTCCAATTGCAGATGGATCCTTATCTATATTAATTAAATCTAGGGCAGAGATTACCCTTCCGCATTTCTCTTTTAGCTTTGACCTGCACAGACCCCCGCACAGTTCTGCCACTTAGAATCTTGCACGTCGATCAAGCCCCGAAGGAAGAGCCCCCCTTCCCCCCCCCGGGCCTGGCAGGACCGGTTTCTTTAGCAGCTCCTTATGCGAGCCCCCTTTTATTAGGGAGATGCTTACTGCAACCTCCGGCCGTTAATCAGCCGTATGGTAGGAAAGGGGCTCGTGATTACTTTACTCCTTGGCGCTTCTGAAGGCCTTTCCACGCGGGACTCGGCTGGGCGAAGAGCCCCTCCCGCCCCCGCCCCTCTCTTCGCCGCCCTGCAGGTTCCCCGGGGGCGGGGGGGGCTCTGCAAGGCTCGGCTGCGGGGCACGAGGCCAGCGCGGCCCCTCAAACGCGCTGGGTGCCGCTGCGGCGCTCCGAAAGGAAGCAGCGCCTTCCCGGGTCAGTGCAGCCCCGCGGATCCCCGCCACAGCCCCCGCCCGCGCAGCGAAGGGATCCACCTCATGACGACGCGCTTGCCCTTCACGTCGACCTTATCGAGGGTGAGCTTGTGGGAGAGAGACATCGCGGCGGCTCCGGGAAAGCGAGCGAGCGAGCGAGCGAGCGAGCGACCTCCGGCTGGGGAGCGAGCGGGGCAGAGAAAGAGCCCGGGCGCTGCGGGGCTCTCGGCAAGGTGGGGAGGCCACGCCCCTTCTTCGGCTGCCTCCGGATAGGCTGACCTGCCTCCCGGGTTTCGCGCGATTAGCTGTGCAGGACCGTCAATCCCGGCAAGGGCCGCATGGCCGAGTCGGAAAGTCAGGTTTCGCCTGGCCGGAAAGCTCCGCCCCCCCGCCTTGCGCCCTCCTTCTGCCGAGTCCGGATTGGTCGCCGTAACATCGCTCAGGGCGTCGCTTTGGGTGTTCCGGTTGGGCGGTTTCCTCGCGCGCTCGGGCTTCCTTCGGAGGTCGGCGGCGGCGGGGAAGTTTTGCGCCCTCGCGTGGCTGCGTTGGGGTCCCTGGCGGGGCAGGCCCCTCCCTCCCTCCCTCCCTCCCTCCCTTGTTCCCCGAACCCAGCTGCCCTTTTGCCCCACTTTCCCCCCCGTCTCCGGAAGGCCCCCTGGCGAGCTCCGGCGCCCTCAGCGCTCCTCGAGCTTTCCTGAATTCTTGGCCTGCTGGTGCCGGCGACCCCTCCGCCCCCTTCTCTTTTCCCGCGGGCGGCTGCCGGCTCAAGGCCGGGCCACCCCGAACTCCGGCGCGGCGCTGGAGGGGGACCGGAAAGGGCGGGAAATGGAGGCGCTGGGGCGGCCGCACTTCCCCGACGACGCGGTTCCCGCCAGAATCCTCCTCCGGCCTCCTTGGCCGGCTGGCCTTTTCTGCCCGGAGAGGAAAGCCTTACGCTGAAGCGGGGCAAAGATGCCGCCCCGTGGCTGGGTCTGAGGCGGCCGCCCGCCCGCCCGCCCGCGGCTGCTCCGAAGCGGCGTTTGCGGAACGGATGGAGGCGCTGGACCTGCGGCCCCTTTTTTGGCCTCTGTGGAGAAGAAATCCTCCTGCCCTTCAAACGCTCCGTCAAACCAAGAAAGACCTCGAAGCTTTGTCGCCTTGAAGTTTAGGCTCCGTTATTAGCATTTTAAGAGGCGATACTAACAGTTTTAACATGGCAATCCAGGCCTCTTTTTTAAGTTTAAGAAAGCGAGTTTTTTCCTCGTAGCCAAGGCCTTTTCTTTGGTATATGAGAACTTGCTTTTGCAGCAACATACGAGAGACTAGGGAGCATATTCTGAAAGTCCTTGAATACAATTGAAAATTTTAAGAAAAATAACCCAGCTAGGAAAGGTTAAAGTAACCCATAAATGTGCCACTTATGGAATGTTTTCTAGAATCAATAATATTGCTCATGATTCATATTTAATCAGTGTCTTTTATTATTTGTTCACTTGCTTTCTGATCTATCATACGTGCCAAATGTATCATTTGTTTCTGTACTTTATAAAACATTTGTCCCCCTTAAATGCTTTTCTTTGAACTACTTGGTGATTCATATTCTGTGATGGGGGAAAGGGGGCCCTTTGCAAAAGTAAAAGTGTCTCAAATTCTGGGATCGTACTGTCAAAAGAATAATTTGGGGTTCCAACCAAGCTGGGGTTGTGCCAGAATAAATAAAAATGAGATCCAGACAGCTGTGAGGAAAGAAAAATGTATTCCTAAAAGCAAACAGTTTGCCTTTAGGGGCAGCTGCCAGAGAAATGCGATACAGCAACAGACTTTTGTAGGGGAGGTTGTCCTGGTGTGGAAGTGTCGACATGCTGATTCTATACAATCCAGGATTGTATTAGCTTTTTTGGCTGCTGCTACACTGCAGATAATTACAAGCAAGCAAGCAAAATATTTGGGAAACAAAGTTGTCTATGTTTGTCAGAACCTATTTGTCCTCCCACTAGGTGCAGAGTTTGTCACCCAGTTGATGTCAGGATAGTTAAAGTCCCCATGTCAGAACCTATTTCCTTGTTGAGGGGGGTTGGGTCTGTCTCTTTCTAGCTTCTTTCTGTGGGTTCTGTCATTCTCCTAAGAGGGAGGGGGGGGCCTTATGGAATGCATCATTTCTCCTTTTGCTTAAATGAAAGCAGTAAGATAATAATTGGTGTAATAATATGTTTGTCTTAGATATGATAGTTAATTTGGTTGAGAGTTAAATTTTACTTAACAGGTCGAAATGTGTTTTTTTTTTACTCTGTTTATATAGAAAACTATTTTGTAATAGCAGAAAAATGAGAGATCTATGATAAGAGAAGACGGTATTAATTAATGATCTATTAAATTAAGAGATGGAATATATGTGAAAATATTAGAATGTTATTCTTGGAATATTATGTGTGTTGTAGAAGGGATACCCAAAATTTTATTAATATGTTTGTTTAAGATCAATTGGAATATTTTAATTGAAATTAGTGGAGCTTAAAAGCAGGAGTGATTTATATAGATGTAATAGTAGGGATGCTTCTGTGGATTGATTGAATTTTAAGAAGAAATAGATTAAATTAAATTTGTTATATCATGTGAGGAAATAGAGGGGGGAATTTTTTTTAAGGTATTAATTTTAGTTATATATATATGACTTGTTTTGTTATGATTGATTACCCTTTCACCACAGTGTTTTCCTGAGCACTTTGATGTTAAAATTAAAAAACCAATAAAATGTGTATAAAACAAAACAAAACAAAGGAACATACATCAAAATCTAAGGAGTCTGTGGAAATACAAGCTTGCTTGAGTATTTTCAGAAGAGAAGCCAAAATTCAATCTGAGGTTTGGAGCACCAAATCAAGTTTGTCAGCCAGTCCAATGGTCAGAGTTTCAGGATTTATAAGTAAAAATCACAACACAGAACAAGAGATCAGAGAGTTGTTTCCAATGTTGACAATGGCACACAAACCTCCAATAATTCAGCATTTGTTCCCAACAAATGCCTTTCCCCACAGCGTCTCCTTAAGTCTCTGTCCTCAGGTGTGCCTTGTGAAGAGGGGCGGGGCGCTCTCCTCCTGAGTAGTCGGGCCTGCCTGCGTTGTTCCCTCCTTCTCTCCACTCTCCGTACTCTAGGATCAGGACGGGGTGGCCCCTGCTCATCACCTGAGCTCGGTCTCTCATGTTCATCCTGCCCATCTTTCCCTGCCTTCAAGCCATCCCAATCCTGAAAGGCCCTAGCCTGCTCCTCACCATATCTCATTAATAGGTTCTATAAGAAACACCTAACAAACCAAGAGGCAACCCCTAACCTATGCTTTTGTTTGCATTACAGGATTTGTCTTTTTTATAAGGGGGGGCGGATGTCAACCCTGCTAACATCGGATGTTTTCGCTTTGACAACAGATGGAAATGCAGCCATTTTTCTCTATTGCTTTTAGAGTTAGTTGATGCTGGGAGGGGGAATGTGGATGAGAGTCCAGCTAGTCATAACAATAATAACTCAGCCGTAGGAACCCAAGGTCATTGGGCCCAGAGTGGATAGAGTTTTGGCTGGCTGGAGAGAAAGCCCTCGCTTCAAGCTAATTGGGGATTGTGATTTATGACTGTTTATTGGAGGAGGGAATTGTGCTTTGTTACTCTGTATCCAGGGGAGGGGAATTTAGTTTTTGGTTTTGACTATGTACTTTGTTTCTCGAATAAAAGATTCTTTAAGGTAAACAATGCCTCAAAGTTCTTTTGAAGAGTTTCATCTGTCGGAACCATGACAAGAACATTATCTTATTTATCTGTCTCCTTGTCTATTGAATTCCACATGAACCATTTCCTTCTTCCAGCTGAGAAGAGAAATTTCTGTGTCTCTACAGAGCGGTGATAGATTCCACATAAACACAAACAGGGAACTGTTTTTGTTGCTTTGTCAATGTTAAAGAATGGTGAGTTTTGCTTGCTTGCTTATTTGTCTGTATAAAGAGACAGTTATTTATCTGAGTTCTCCACTTTTCCCAGCACAAAGAGAGTTGCTATCTGAGTACAAAGACTGTCATGCGGGATAGCTGCTATCCCCCAATTGCATCCCTAATAAATAAATTTGAATGAAAGAAAAAAACATTGCTATATAAAAATTTCTCACCTTTTCAGTTCTTTAATATTATTATTTTCTCTCAGGAATTCTGTTTTCTCCCCATCTTGTTTTTGAACCCTGCAACTCAGATTTTGATTCTCCTTTCTGAGCTGGTCTATCTGCTTTTCTGAAATGTTTCTTTTGTAAAATATCAAGACCAGAATAAAGTTAGCCCTCTTAGAGTTATTTTTACTTCAATCATTAGACTTGTTTAAAATTAAAACTAATTAAAAACACTTAGTATTTTGTTTGTTATACATAGTCTCACATTTTGATCAATGAATTAAAAAGTTCCCTTAAAACTCCTAGGATGATTCGGTTTTTCTTGGATTTAATCCAGTTATCAGACTATAAGTGACTGCCACAAGGTAAACTTTGCTACTTGATGGATATAAGGAATGCGATATAGAAAAGGAGATCTATGGGCAACTGAAAGTACATTTTTCCAATAAGAAAGTGCACCACATAAAGCTATGTTTAACTATGCCAAGACTTACATAAAATTCTGGTCCATAGCTTTCTTTAATTCTTCTTTTAGCCTTTTTGTCAGATAACTCTGGAGAAGTCAAAATATTTTACAAATGAGGAATATATTTATATATCATCCCATTCACTCCCCCCACTATTCCCTCTACTCGTGTTTGGCTTCTTTACCTCTTATGATGACATGAAATATTTTTCAGGCTATATTATTCCTGATTAGAACAAACATAGGTTTTTTGAAAGGGAATTGTTGTATGAGAGAATTGATTCCTTAGCCTGATTTGTTCACCTGTGAAAATGATAATGTGACAAATAATTGTATAAGCAACCTTATACAAGTGATAGCCCTTATACAAGTAGTAGCTAAAATTGAATCTGGAAACAGGTCACCAAAGAACTGACCCCATGAATATGAGAGCTGTTGCAGGCTGCATAATGATATGGGAGAAAGACCTTGGGGGATGGGGCAGAGATGCTGTGTGGGGAGCAGTAAGAGAAGATCTGTTATGGTTCTATCGAAAATGGAATCAAATTAGAAATTTGCGAA